AGCGTCAAGCTGATTTGCATTACGCGAAGCAGTGAAAAATTGTCATACTGTTTATTCCATATATATTGCTGATTGTAGATAAAATTCCTTGGCTTACGTACATCATTATGTTTTATTGATTCCAAAATGCGACGATTGCGTACTACTGAACAGTCCAAATTATGGACTGTCTGACGTAACCCATAATATACGATAAATACCATTATCTTTGAAGGCTGCCAGGATTAGAATAACAATGAAAACATTTTACTATTGTCATAAAAAGAATTTGCAAAGAAACGATGTAGTCTTTGATGTTGAAAAAGTATTTTATTGGGACCATCGCAGAGTAATCCAAACCTTGAGAGCAATGCTTATTACTTTCGCTCACTGCCTGCACAAAACACGTTTGTTCTTTATTGTCCAGCATAAGTAAAGTAAGCTGCGGAATGAACTCCCTCACGAAAGTAGAGCTGGCGTCCTCCGAACAACGCAAACTTCCAGTGCTGGAGCTTGCATTAGCCACTGTAATTGCCAGCAGTTGCTGCACCATAGTTAACCATGAAACATCAATTTAGTTAGACGGTACAGTATTTCACTCATGTTTCGTTAAATATTGCTGAACCATTGTATTATAGTATTAAAACGATGTTTTGCAATTTACAAAATAAATGAGCCCCATTGATGGATATAGTTCACGCCGAATTGAAAAGTGCGAGAACATTATATTACTTCGATGCTCCCAAATGAAGGCGTAAACATAAAAGCTATCTCCATACGTTCATACTGCAAGTAGGAATAATGCCTCAGTTTTTACAGTTTTTGAGTCGCGTCCGCAAACTGCCGAGCGATGAGAGTCTTAAATGTTACCAATTAATTCACTGACCATCCCATAAACATTTCTTACATAATGCGACACTAGCATCTCGATAAATCGAAGCAGATTCCTTGTGATTCATTCGCGGCAAATCCAACGCTTAATTTTTTTTTTTTTTTTTTATATTGAAATATATTTAACGCACTTCTAAATGGCTGACGTCATGTTTACACGCTCGACGCTTGTAAATTTAAACGCCAGGGTTTGTCGCGATTATTTTTAATTTATAATGCGGAAGTCGGGTTGGAACTAAGGAGAACCTGGAGCGATCAGGATATCGTAATTAATAATTTCTACCGAATCGTACGACTGTTTGCATATAATCCAGAAGACAAAGGCATTAATTGAATTCACTTTATCTAGTGGTTTTTCTTTGCATTTTGAGTGCACACGTATCGTAATATTAATTACATGCTGCTATCCTCCATTCACATTTATCGAAGCTTTAAAACCACGTTTTGTACTGAAATTACAGAAACTATCGAAATCGATTGTGCACACACATTACTGTAATTATAATTTATTTCTATCTTTAAAAATAAAGGTAACTCATTAAACGTATGAATGAAAAACAATGAGTTAGTAATTGAATACTTTGACGACCGAAAGGATTATTCTGTGACATTATATCGTAAGTCTCAAGAAAATTTTAATATCTTTTACTTAGCGCGTATAGTAGTTTTATTAAATTTTAATAGTAAATGAATGGAAATTGATATTTTAGTTCAGGGTCGATAAAATTACACCTTTTCAATGTCTTGTAAGTGACCTTGCCAGCGCATCCAATGAGTCGACTGAATCTTCGCACGTGCCCTCTCTTTCTCTCAATCTATTATAATTTTGTTCACAAATCGATAAAAATTCCACTGTATCTTCGCGTTGAAACTTTTGGAACGGGTAAGTTTCTAAGAAACGAATAGGGAAAGGTAGAAACAGTGAGGATAATACAAGAAAAGGGGAAAGAAATCAAGATGAAATAAAAACCGAGATGATGGCATATTATACTTGACGTAATGTACGCGATGACGTTGAGAATTTTTTGAAAGGTCTATTTTCTCATGACTACTGGGAATTCATCGGAATTAAAGTACGGAAGAAAAGGTGCATTGCGGTGCGAGCAAGGCAACGAAAGGCACTGTTTGCGAGAAAACGACAGTCAACCGCGCTAATCACAATTCGATAATCTACATCGCAATTAATCAACTGTATATTTTACGCGATAAATGCGTATAAAAGGAAAAATGGTCGACAAGCCCACGAAAAGCTTTAGAATTTCCTCTTAGCCAATAAAGATTAAGTTAAATGATAATCCTCGCAATAGATCAAAGATTGCCTTCGTATTCAAATGGGCTATGAGTGTCGTATTGTACTGACAGGCGATAAATAGCCATCGCAATTGCATAGACAAATCATGTTTGAAAGTTATTTTGTAACAGTGGCTGACGCCTGAAAGAAGGCAGCTGAGAGTGAACGGGTGTATAAATTCCGGCGAGCGCACACCATCGTGCTTTGAGCGAATTAACAATTTATTGTAGAATTTCTAATCGCCATATTGCAATGGACGCAACGAAATGGCGCAATTTTAGGTTTTGAAAGATCGTCCAGTTTTGCTTCATTCGAGAGAAAAAATAAATAATAAAAACTTTATTAATTTTACAGCTAACGAGGGAAATATTGCGTCTAATCGTATTGCATCTAATTGAAAGATTAATTTTGGATCACTTCTCCGTTCGAATTTACGAGAAGCTTACGAAAGCGCTTTTGTTGGAGTCTGCTTTTCAATGGTCGAACCTCTTCGCAAAAATCCACGGCACGTCTGCGATTTTTGAGACGTCTTCTCCAAACTTTGTACAAAATTTTCTATAGCCTGTGACTACTTGCGAAGAACTTGCGAAATCGTTTTGTACGTAAGTTAACACCTTGCGTCCTTACAGTTTTCTGTCTATCTTGTCGAAACTCGGTACACATGATTATTTTGGTAATACGAATTGGCCTAGTATACATTCAGATGCGCCGAATATCTAGCGCACGACATTCATTGCAAAGATACTTGTGCTGTTCAGTTAGCAGTTGAGAATAATTGCGTACAAAAAAATTGTTGATTAAACAGTTACCATCGGTATTTTTTTTAACTGGGAAAGGAGTTGTATAGTTCTCCGGTGAATTCTTCTTCACTGTTAAATGTGAACTTGAAATGCATCGAAGACACTTTCACTTGCGACAAACAGCGAATTCCAAGTGCAATATTGATGAAAGGGCACTCTACTCAATGAACCGTACGTAACGCAGTAATTGTACGTTGCACGGCGATGCGTGTAAAAAATCACGTTTGCAAAACTGCACGCTTCTACGTATTAAATACACGCGAGTGTGATGAAAACTACCTTTCAGCGGCACTTCTCGCCCGATCAAAATCTCCTTCAAGCTACTTGATTGCAAGCGAATGAAATGGGATTTCACGCGAGGCCAAGTATATCGTTTGAAATTGAGAAACCAAGTATGAAAGTTAATTATCCGTATTTAAGTCGTTCAACGGCGACGACGACGAGTCGTACAGCTTGGGCCAAGAAAATCAATTTCGAAGACAGAACGGCGAGGTGCGACTGTTGGGTCGCGCGATCGAAACGAAGCGTCGGCAAGTGTGAAGTTGACGGGTCGACTGACTGGCCAAGTTTTTTGAAGAAAGATCAAGTCGCCGACGTGGCTGCCACTCGCGAAGGTACGCGTGCGCGACGTAAGCTTCGGCCGGTGAAGGATACTTCTACGGAACCAATAAAATACATTCTGCGTTTGCGTTTAGTGAGAATTCCACGCCGCGTTTATGTACATCTGTAAATACGTAATTAACGGTTGCCGTCGTGAGACCTCGAGCCTAGATTGTAAAATTACGATGTCACGTGAAATGCATATTACCGTCCTGTTTTAGTGGCATTTCCATTTTGCCAAACGTTTATCAATAATACTTTTGCTATTATTCGTATGACAATCGATTCCGCGATAGAAATATTGTCCGTTGGTGTAAGCCAATGGGCAGATCAATAATCATTATTGCGAAGATTGGGAACTGCGCTGAAAGCGACCAAAAACTTTTCGAATTCATTCAATTCGCTGTGAATGAATTCGCGCAGAAGATACTCCGTTGGACTTGTTTTTTTGGCTTGGGAAACAATTGTCGATTTAAATATTGGAGCCGATTATTTCATCGGCGTCAACCTCGTTATGGAAACTTACGGATTTTGAATGGTTTCTCATACGATAATGGAAATTGCGTTCTCAAGCTCACCAAACTACACGATTTATGCGACGGCTAACACCGACTTTCCACGTAACGTACAGCCACAGCGCCAGCGTGCGCTCGAGCGATCTCGTTTGAATGCATCCGAATCGAATGTGCGGCGTCGTTCGGCGACGCCCAAGAAATTGCGCGCTCTCGGCAATTCTCGACGTGGCATTTGCGCGAAGGCGACGTCGCGCGGGACGCTGCTCGCGAGCACTGGCACGCGGGGATCCGCGGCGAGATCGCCGGTCGGGAGTCGAGCTTTCCTTTGCTCGGCAGCCACCGACGCGCCTGCGTTGCGCAACGGCGCTGCGCCGATGACGCCACTTGCCCGGCGGATCGGCTAGCTTTTGGGCCAGCGCGCCCGACATCCGAAATTGGCGACGTCGACGGGTCCAGCGAGCAGCCTTGCGTACGTCGGAGAGCGCCCGAGCCGCCGCCGCCGCCGCCGCGCGATACGCCAGAAGCTTTCTCTTCGAGAAAGCAAACAGCCGATGCGCTGCACATTTCCTTCGACCCTGATCTAGTTTCAGTCGTTGCACATCCACGAAGAGTCGGCGGCGAGGCGAGCAGGCGCCGCGCGAGAGAAAGTAAAATTCGCTCTATATTACGAAATTTCGACCGGTCGGCCGACATCGGCAGTTTTCGGTCCCCCGAGGAAATCCTCGGGCGCGTCCCGACGGCGAGGCGGAAGGCGTCGCTCGCCGAGTACGAAAAGTAGGTGGCAGCCGGAAAACCGGGCCCCGGTCGGGCGGCGTTCGAGCGGCGCGAGCGCGTGCCGAACGCGGCGCCGCCGAGGTGGGGGGAGCCGAGCGAAGGAGCGCACGGCCGCGCGGAACAGTCGAGCCGATCCGAGTCGGTGAGCGCCTGTCCCGTAGCGGGTCCCAGTTACATCGCGGAAACCGCTGCCGAGACTCGCGGCTCTGCTCTCTTATCCCCGATCTCCGCCTGTCTCCGAGGTGCATCGCTCGCTCTCCTCCGCGAGTCGCCGCGAGTCGCCGCGAGTCGCCGCTCGACCGTGGCATCGTCGCCTTCGCGCACGCATCGCTCCCGCGAGTCTCGCACGCCCACAGGTCGGCTATCGGGAGCAGGCGGCCGACGCGCAGCCTCGCGATCGACGACGGCTCGAGCTGACGCGCTGAAATTTATTTGCGTCGACGTCGCCAGTCCGCGGCTCGATTACCCGAGCCAGTTCGTTCCTCGCGCCCGACTCGATCGACGAGGCGCGTTATCGCGCACCGCGGCCACTGCATTCGAGGTCAGGTCTAACGCTCGGTTCTTTTCAGTTTGCAGCCAATTCGGACGGCGATCGCGCCGATCTGCGAGCTCGCCCGCAAGCTATAGCGCACTAATCACGCAGGGGTGGAGGAGGAGGTGGTGGTGGTGGAGCTCGACACTGCGCCGTTCGCAAAGGAAGCGACCATCGCCGAGACGCGGCTCAGACCACAAGTCGAGGCTCGAGCTTGCTTCCGTATTTTCTCCTATCAAGACTATAATGGACCTTCGAGATTAGTTACTTCGGAGCACAAGGATAGACGAGAGAAGCTGCCAGCGGCAATCCAAATATCAATTTCCCTCGGCAGGCACATTAAAAATGTGAGTTGCAAAATAATTACTTTCCGGTATCGCGTGTGTGTTGTGATTGCGCGCCTGTCGTTCACCGTTGTCTTCAATCTCATGGGCTCGCGCGTCGCGATTCGTTTCTTTTTTGCAATGGCAGAGACTGGTTTCGCCAATTCCAAAAAAACGTATAATAAAAGAAAAGGAAGAACGAGCAAGCGATTCTCTGAATGCTCAATTTCGGTCTTTCCACTTGATTCGTGAGAAAAGAGCGAATGTCCTTTCTTTTTCTTCATTTTTTCCGCAATGCATAACATATGATCAACGATATTTTGTAATTTTGCCGAGTTCGAAAGTCCGCGTTTTACACGAGGCGGGCCGCGCTGCGGTCGCAACTTGCTTGCGACTTGAGAAATAAGAGTTGGGCAACAACTTATTTGGGTGATTAAATGTTAAATAAAAAGAAAAAAAATGGATCTTTGCCGGGAAAGTCGGCTTTCCTTGATTCGATCGAAATCAAAAAGCGGTTCTCAATGCGCCGGGCTGGCGGCCGAAGAAAAGCCGACGCTCGCGACGGCGCAAAAAGCTTGCCGCGGTCGCAGGGGCGAAAACCAGCTATCGGCAGCCTCGATCGGCGCGGCGAGCCGCGCTAACTCGCAAGGCAAACTTTCCAAGGTGTACACGGCCGCGCGCAAAAAGCGTGCACGTGGCTCTCGCGGCGGATGAGCTCATAACCTATCCTTCCCGAGGCTGACGCGCGGCGCTCGATTATGCGACGAATGCGCTCGGCCGACGCGCGCCGCTTTTCGCTCGATCATCCCGGACGAATGATTGGCGCGCGCCGAGGCGGTGCATCCGCCGCCGAGACCGCGATCGAGATCGGCGGCCCCGACGACCGGACGGTCGTGCAGTTTTCGCGCGACGCGTGGAAAACGCGGGCTCGAAGTGGAAAATCGGTGCCGCGCTGCCGCCGGATATTCAATGAATTCGACTGTGCTTCGCTCATGAATTCGAACGCATTCAAACGACTTCGCGGAAAATTGAGCCGTCTCGTAACATCCCATTACGCATTGCATTCGGAGGTCTTAGATAATAAATGTGAAACGATATAATTGCTTGGATTGCGACATTGTTGCTCTTGCTCGGCTACCCCAAACTTTCTCTGGATAAACTCGGTGCAAATCAAACAAACTTTTTAAACGATTGTTTTCTTTTTTTTCTTTCGTCCCAACGTCGCCGCGCAACTAATTGGCCAGCAGCCACGCCAACTTGCGAGGCACCCACGAGGGGCTGCTGACTCCAGTGGCCAAACGCACCGAAGAGACGTCGATTGCCGTATCGTAAAACGGTCCAAACTTTTTCTAAGAAAGAGCAATTCGCTATTACTCTCAAACGGAAATACTCGGTTTCGCAAGAGGCTTCAATCAATTTTATTGCATGCACCTCTCAGCATGGAATCAAAGTGAGGGAGAGAGAAAAAAAAAGGAATAAATGACGAAAGTGAAATTCATTAGTAGCGTGTTTACGTTTTCGCCTGGAAGCTAGTCGTTTTTGAAACAAGGCCACCTCGGCAACAAGGTCGCTTTTATAATCGCGAGTAGTTTGCAGTCGCGTATGATAAACGAAAAAAAAAAATGCGCTCCAGCACTTCCGGAAAGCAATCGAGCTCGTCGCGTTTTTAAATGCCGATCGTCCTGATTCTGCGACTCTCCAAAGTTAATCGTCGAATTTTCACGTTTGAACATACTCGTCAACTTGCAACGCGCAACGCAATTCTACCTGAAGTTTGTTCGGAAAAATGCCCCAATTAACTGTAGGCACTCGTCGTTGTTTGATAATTTCACCCGCTCGGCATGTATTCTCGGTTAATTTCATGTTTACTTCCGTAGAAAGCTCTTTTCTGTGGAGTTTATAAACGATACACGCGATTAAGATATATTCAACGATGTGTCGCTTCGCTCTGTACATCTGACCGATCTGACTTTGTAACAATAGAACTAATTGTCGGATATACAGTGGCCTACAGATTGTATCCGCGAAGTGTTTGAAAACAAATAAACGAGCAGAGTCAGGATTGATAAAAAGAAAATCTTGACTTACTGCGAATGGAAGCTTTGGAACAATGATAAAATTTAATTGACCAGAAGCTAATATGCAATACTTGAAAATTCTGATTTTCATGATAATCAATTCCGTCAAGTTTATTCCGATAACTCGAGATTTTTAATATATTTGATAAAGATGATTTGTTTTTTTTAATCTCAAACAATTACTACAGATCGTGAAATCTATTTGTACTTTTATTGGCGTCCGTATGATTCGATCAACATTTTTGCTATTACTGGAAAGTGACAGGGAAGAAAGCGTAGCGGTACATCCTCACCAAGTAATAATCAAAAATCCAGCAAATGCTGGGTTCACTACGAGGATGTAGACATTATATTGCTTCCGGAAAATACAGCGTTGACTGAGTAAAACATTACTCGATAATAAGACGGCAAGACGTGAGAGGCATTAACAATGAGTAGATTTTATTATGCAAATCATTTCGCGAGCGAGGAAGTTTTGAATGTCGACGTTGTCTCGAAAACGCTGCGAAAAAGGTCCATGACGTTCGTTGTGCTTTCCAGAATAAAAGAAACAAAAGCAAAAGACACAAAAAGCGTCAAAGTCTGATTGATTCTATTTAATCGATGATCGACCTTTTCCCATGTTTGAAAATCAAAATAAATGCTTTGTGCACAAAACAAGTCTGGCCTAGTAAAGGAATATTTGTTTCTTTCAATGTCAAAAGTGCATGTGTGATTTACGTAATATCCTTTTTTCGAGAGTGCACTCTTTCATTAATACATTTGCAATTTAATGTTCGCGTTTAGCGAGCTCGATATGCGCATCTTATAGATGTGGGTATGCCGATTACAGACATTAAGCTACAAAAAATATCTCCAAATTAAATCATCAAAATAAATCAAGGATTTAAGTAGTTTTTTATACGATCGCACATTTAGACGTGTACATTAATTGGTGAACGGCTGAGGATTAAATAAGGCGCAGAAATGCTTTCGTTATTTTTATAAACGCTCATTCAAAAATGGGGGATGCCGAACGTCAAATACTTTTAATGTTTGATGAAGCTCAACGATCGAGTCTTTAATGCATTCGAAGATTTTTTTTTTAACGATACTTTCAAGTATTGCTGGTTCAGCGACTGACTACGTCATTTCTTCGTTCCAGTTTTTCCAACTTTGCGCTTTCAGTGAACATGGTCATAAATTGTGGTTATTTTTTAGAACTGTATATACGTTATTTTGCGATACTCGTTTATTGTTCTTGCGCACATTTGCTTCCACTTACAGAGAGAATCCATTTTTTTTTTTTTTCGCAATGCAAAATTTACAAAAATTTACAATTTTAAACAAAAATTATTCAATATTTTTCTATAGTTTCAATCAGGTTTTATTGCGTACGTTCTCATTTACACTCTGCAGGAAGTTTGTCATTTTTACGTGTTACGATGAGAGAATGATCATATTCACTGATTTAGTGACTGGCTCAGTTATAAACCGGTATTTTAGCTAGACGCACTCGAAAATGTAGCCCGTTACTGAAACATGACACAGATTTCTTTTGTATCGTGTATAAGCCTACTATAAATATAGATGTTTGATTACGAATGATACTTGCGGTAGAAATTTTTTTTATCGGCATATATATCCGACGAAAAAATAATTTGGTTGCACTTTTCAATTGGAAATCTCTCCGTACTCGTTAGCGAAATTTTCAAAGCACTGCCAAAAGATCGATATTACTTTTATTTTAATTGCAACTTGAACAACCATTGACGCAAATCTTGCGATTTATATTACGATTTCAGTACCTCCGAAAATGAACAACAGTGCCTTACACATCAACAACATGGCGAATGAATCCAGTACTTCATTATTAAAGTTTTATAATCGTATTTTTTGGGATCTTTCAGGTGAGTTTTATCGTTATGATATTTTTAAGTGATTTCTAAGTAAATGAAATGTGTCTAAAATATACGTAATTTTGCAGATCCTCGAACAAGGAATTGGTTCCTATTGTCATCACCATTGCCTGGCTTGGCTATATTAACCACATACTTATACTTTGTGTTATCATGGGGTCCGCGTTACATGGAGCAACGCAAGCCTTTTGTACTAAAGAAAACTCTAGTCATCTACAATTTCTTCCAGGTGTTACTTAGTTTTTGGCTTTTTTACGAAGGTCTCGATGGTGCATGGCTTCGACACTATAGTTGGAAGTGCGAACCTGTTGATTTCTCTAATTCGCCACACGCGATGAGGGTAAGAATTTCACACATTGATAACATTTAACAATTCGAGCTTGTCCTTCGCTTTTCGAAATTTATTATCAAAAATATCAATACTTGTGGATATATATTGAATGCACGATTTTCCTGAAATAAACATAGATAATAAGCATAGTATTTCCGCATAGGTCAGTGGAAAACTCGATGCCATTTAACGATTTTTTTAGCGATTGCAACTCTCACGATATCGCGATTATTTTGCTGTGTCTGAAAAAAAATGTGAATGCTAGTGCAATAATTTCATGATTTTTAGGTGGCAAGAGGAGTTTACATTTATTTCTTAGCAAAGTTGACGGAGCTTTTAGATACGGTATTTTTTGTACTTCGTAAGAAGGACAATCAAATAACTTTTCTGCATATGTATCATCATACTGTGATGCCAATGATCTCTTGGGGTGCGGCAAAATATTATCCCGGTGGCCATGGAACATTCATCGGTAATTCATGCAAGCACACACTTATCGATTACGACGATCGCATTGGACCGACAAAATAATGTAGCCGCTATCAAACGTTGCAGGTGTGATCAACAGCTTCGTTCATATAATAATGTACACGTATTATATGCTTGCTGCTGTTGGACCGCAGTTACAAAAATATCTCTGGTGGAAAAAATACATTACAACGCTACAAATGGTAATTGTAAAGCGACTTGAAGCATTTTTCGTGATTTTTACTTTTTATTTACGGTACTGTGTATTTCTAATCCATTGACAACTGCCGTTGATCTATGATAATTTCAACTGTGCTTAAAGTTGACGAAAATCTAATCGACCCAAAGTAATAAAAATATTACGTTCGACAGGGCCAGTTTTGCTTAGCGTTCCTGCACAGCTTCCAGTTATTAATTTACGACTGCGACTATCCAACCTGGTCACTCGTCTTTATCTTGCCCAACGCCATATTCTTTTACCTACTGTTCTCCGAATTCTACAACAAAGCTTACAAAGATGAGCAAGTAGCTGCCAAGAAAAAGAAAGACGATGAAGAAGACGATTCTCGATTAAAAATGTCTAATGGCTTAACGTTGAACAGTAGTAATTTTAATGGACAGTCAGTGAGTAATTTCAAACGTGTGATGCAGAACGGAACCTCAAAAGAATTGTTAAAGACTGTGTCCAATGAAAAATTGAAATCGATTTGAAAACTTGATAATTTCGTATTTAAGTAAGTGATAATATGTACAGAAATATCATGCTGAAGTACGAATTGTCAACTAAACATGTATCTACAATGTGTACCAAAAATGCTGCAACTTTGCAAATTACCAAATCATCGTGCATTCGAAACATGTTTTCAATTTGTGGTGATAATGAAGTTCAATTATTTTGTTCAATAGTTACGAACTATATTTTCCAAATCTGACTGATTACAGTCACTTTTTCAACGACAAGATTTCAAACTTGTGCCCTTACAATCAGTACGTTTATTTTCTGCAATAGTTCTAGTAATTAGAGAATGAACGATTTAATGTATTAATGTTTATATGAAATAAAACGAAATATTTTTACTCGTTAAGGATTTGTTAATCCTAGTAACCGTCGTTGAGGGTCGGCCCAAGGAATAATTCATTAATGACTAGTATTTTCATTTCAAAACAACAACGTTATGCTGGCATTGTTTGCTAGTCTGTTCATATTTCCGCAATATAATGAAGTAATTTGACAAAAACAATTGGTTTGACAATCATGCCAATGTTTACTTAAAAATTTTTCAAGAGTGAAAGTTCTATTGCTTGACCACAAATATTGTAACATCTTTTCTTGTAACGTCGTGCAGAGAGACGTACAGAATCCCCCTTAATCTGTAGACATATTTTAAGTTTAGAGCCACATATTAATTAAAAAAGAAATATTTTTATTTTATGATAGACATAGATTGATGTGATAATGTAAATATTTTGAAACATTTAACTATCTGTAAGACATATAACGGCTTAGGGAACACAAACGAGTTTTTTGAGACAACTCTCTAACTGTAAAATTAATTACACTATTCAGGATTGATTCATTAATAATAATGTATCAAACGGATAGAATATAATTTATCTGGTTAAGATAAATTGACGTTTTGAGTTGCAAAATAAGCATTATTCATTTATGTATAAATAGGTGTTGACTTTTATCAAGTAAATGGTTTTGTCAATAGAAATCATTATTTATCAATTACTACTCAAAATTTTAAACGTAACAAGTTGATATTTGGTTTGTATTTTAAAATTATATATGTATACGCACGACATGTGATAGATATCATGAATTTATGAATTTTATTTACTGTTACTAGATGAGAAATATCTAAATAAATATTATAAACTTGGGAAATGGATACCTTCTTTTCGACTTGCATTGAATTAAATTTTTAAATTTAATAACTTTAGAGTGTTTAATAAACAAAGGGTACTGAACCTGATACTAAATTTAGCGTGTTTTATGGAAACATCAATTTATTTACAAATTGAAATATCTACATACAGAGAAACTAATATGTTTTAGTTTTTATCTTATCAAAAGATAACAATCAATACAAAGACTTTTGAAAACGGTTATATATATAAAATAAATTAAAGTTTTAATGATATGTACACATTATTAAGTAGCTAATATTTTACAATACTTTTTTAACTTTATATGCATTTCTATAAAAATTAGCGAAAAGGTAAATAAAGATACTGACATTAGTAAGAAAAAAATAGGTAAGAGCTTTCGGCATCCGACAGTCTACAGCAAGAGTAAACAATAGATATACAAACATCATCATAAATTGAACCTGTAATATAAAAATCCAAATAAAATGTGTGTATAAATTTTATATGCATTAGTAATGTATATTAACATAATAATATGAAATATAAAAATAGCCAAATAGCGAATAAATAGCCAATAGATTTCTTTTTAGTTGACTGCTTTATATCGAATATACTCAACTCGAGTAGTATGGATAATGATCTTTGGTTTTTTTGTATACAAAGAATATTTCGGTTGTTTGATAAGCTTTAAAGACACTGAATAGTTGCACAGTATTTAAAAAATAATAAAAATATTACAGTAAATGAAATAGTTAAAGTCACTACCAATTGCATCCACGTCATGTACTTTTTCCACCATAAATATTTTCTGTATTGTGGGCCAAGAGCTGCGATCAAATAATATAAATACATAACAATATGTACAAAGCTGTTGAGAAAACCGATGACAATGCCTTGTTCGCCAGGTAAAAATTTGATATAGCACCATGAAAATAAAGCCATAATTGTGTGATGATACACGTGAAGAAAAGACACTTGATTGTACTTTTTTCTAAGAATAAAAAAAACCTGAAAAATAATATATTAAATATTAAATGTAACATTAAATGATTAGTTTTACGTTAAATATTATTAAAATACTTGCAGTATCCAACAGCTCGGTGATTTTTGAAAAAAAATACCACCAGCCTCCTAGTGACAACTACAATGAAATTTTTGAAATTATTTTATTTTATTTATATCAATATAGCCAGTAATATTATGGAAATATTTTTATGACAAAAGTAATTTGATACTATTCTTTATAAAAAACAGTAAGACACTGGAATTTTCAAATATCAGTCTCATTTTTAAATCAGTCACTGTGTAATTCCGAACTTGAGATACTACTAGTAGATCAACCTCCACAAATTGATCTCATCTATCTCAATTTATGGTCAACTGGTAAATGAGCAACGACAATATAAATGGACTTCCATCAGATAATTATTTAATTAAATTTGTAAAATATTATTTTTAAACTATTTTTATATTGATTTTTTAAACGTGTAGTTAAGCTATCAAATTGTAATGTTACCAAAGTAATTGATCATAGTTGAGGAGCGACGAATTATAATTTTCTACTCTTTGAATTAATTTGTAACAAAATGTATGCTGCAAGTTTGAAGCTAACAAGAGAGAAATGAAAGGTCTGACCGTGTTAACCGGTATTTAGGACACTGAAGTATTTCTTAGAATCTTCGAAGTTGTGCTACTATTATGGTATCCATCATAATTTGTGAAAGCTAAAGTTCTAATTGCAATGAATCGATAGTCAACGTAGAAAAGATGATGCTGCAAAGTAAAAAATTGGAATTCTTCATAAATATTGCATAAAATCTATTATCTTACCGTAGATTGTATTTTTTTATTTATTGGTATTGCATTTTCGGTATTACAGTTATCAGCAAATAGTAGATCCATGACATCGATATTGAAGGTCTGTAATCGTGAAAATTAACGTAAGTGAAATAATGTCAAGCTTTTAAATTATCGTAATGTATTTAATTCATCGAAGGGTGATTGCAAATATTTTTCTTACAATGATTGTTAACCATATACTGAAGAATACTTGGAAAGCGTTGTAGAATATAATAACTCTTTTGAGCTCGTAGGCTGGCCTCTTTTCCATAATTCTCGGACCAATTTTGAGAACAAAAGTAAGATAGACTGCAATTATTACGAAAACTGGCAGCGGACTGCCCATCAGCAACCATGTATCCACGACAGGATCTAATAAGACAAGTAATTTATGCGTTGGTGCATTTATTTATATTTATTTATTGTTCAAATGTATGTGCGTATTACAAAGCTCGTAGTGAACGTCGATCAGAAATAACGTGAAAGATTCTACCAATTTGTAATTGCGACCTTTAACTTTATACCATATTTATGAAGACTTACAAATGTAATCATACAATTTCACGTGTAGCTTCTTAATACAATAGAATCGACGTAGAGTATAGTAAATATTCAGTGAAGTTTGTCAATTGTATAAAATGCATACTAGATTTATAAAATTTTACCTTTCCTCGATTCCAAAATCTCATTATAATTACTGACGACGTGCCCTATTATACTAGCCATTGATTGACGGTTAAATATTGATTCTTCCTGTAATTCAGAAAATGTAATTAATAAACAATAAGGAGCAATAAGGATATAAATTGTAAAATGTAAATTAATAATTTTGCAAATATTATAATTGTCACTTATAACTAAATTCACAACACCATAATTTTGATATGTTCATCGAAAGGAAGCTTTCAGTTTTTCGAATTAGCTATGAAGATATTTGTGAAATATAACACGTTTCCGTACAACGTAAGAACAATTTAACAAACAACATTACCCGGGTGAAATAATATTTCTTTTAAATTTTGTATTTCTTCAATTAATATTAGGATCTAGTTCACAGCTCTTGGAGTGTACGACTGCTCTGGATTCTCGTTAAAAACTGAAAGACGTTCAAAGCACAGCACCTTGAAAAAAAGTGAGCGCAACAAGAGAAGGAGTAAATGACCATCTATAAATTGGCCCCACTACTCCAAAAAGACGGTTTCCCATTCATTTTCTACCTCAAATCGGAAGTACAGTACTTTTAACCGAATCTTTGAAAAAATGCATTAGAAAAAAAAAACAATAAATATTTGAGATACGGGAATGTATTTTTAACTAGAGTGTTTTTTTTACGTCCCGTACAATGTTGATACTGTGTAAAACAATATATTTTACACGTGTATTCTTATGAATGAATTACTCACTTAATTAATTGTTAAATTATTCCACATGCAACTGAGAAAAAGGAAAAATTTAAACACAAAACTATATTGCCCAATTATAATGAAAATGGATATCGCATTATTGGTGATCGATGTAATGCTGACAAAGTGTCAGATGAATTGATTATTGTTTTTTTATATTCAGAACAGCTTTTCACTATTACAGCTATAGAACTATTTGTACAAATAATGTGATGTAAAATAACAAGATAATAATGGTCACATCGAGTGAATATTATTGGTAATTATTGGAGCGAAAGTGATTCTTCAAATAAGGATTGATACAAGAATTTCAAATTGTCATATAATACAACAACGAGTTTTTTAACCGTGAAAAATGTCAAATAAAAAACGTGTTGCGTTATACAGCGGTAGTTGAATGGTTATTACTCTGATATTTTGTATAGGTCAATATAACGGCACCAGTTACTATTCAAAGAGGTGAACGGGATAATAGATAAACAGATTGAGTCATACAATTTTAGAAAAAGTAGGTTATGAGAACAATTTTAAAAGCACTTGGAATACCTCATACATATTTGTTCTACTTTTACATACTACAGTTCTTCATAGAAGTTGTGTGATAAACCAGATCTTCTCAATTCAATCATTGGTGATGGGGTAAAGTAATAATATAATGAAGCATGAAGGCAAGTAATTTGTCAACTTGATATAAACTTTGTATAAAAAAATGTTGCTGAAAATACCGAAATCTAAGTAACGTGGCGTAAGAAATAAAATTACAATCAATTTTAAAAATTTTGTTCATTCTTTTTATAAATTTATAAATGTACGGAAAATTTGAATTGTTTATTAACCCGTAAAATAATTGCTGATTTTTAAAAGGTATTACTTTATTACAAAAGTTTTTTATATTTCATTAATGATATTTGCGTAAAAATTATCTAGCTTTCCAAAAGTGATAGAGGAAACTAGTTACATGATTCTTATAACTATAGGAAACCGAAAGTAATATGTATAGATATCTACCTAATATATATCCCTGAAGCTTTCGAAATAAACGCAGTTCTTAAACATAACAACAATAATAATAATAATGATAATAATAATAAAAATAATAATAATAATATTAACAATAACAATTACAATAACAATTAGCCGATTGAATAAACATTTGCTGGTCACTTGGTGGATTAGTAAACTCATCGGTCTCCCTGTATTATAACGTATGCTTATATATATATAATAAGAATATTAAAATAAGGATTGTTTTAACTAATATAAAATTAAATAATGGTAACAACTAATATAAAATTAAAATAAGGATATTAAAATCAAAAAGATTTCCTAAGTAAGTGAGAGTAGTTTTGTTTATATGTATTTTCTTCAATTTTTAGACTCTCAAAGACATGGTTATGGATATAAAAATGTTTCTACTTATTACTTTAAGGTATAAATGCATACAAATCTTTTAAAATTAGAATAAGCTGAAAGCTACATGCCAATTGGATTGTAATAATAGTTTATTTTCTTGTAGTGTATAGTTTTCTATTCTATAAAACATCTATGTAGTCTTTTGTTTTTCATGCAACGATTCTGTTTTGACATGTCCATTTTTCGTAACTTCAGTCTTTGTTTTTGGTTTTTTAATGTAAGCTTTGTAATAAAATTCTCCAAATAGAACGATCATGAAAAGATTTTGAGGTATAAATATAGCTGCTGTCCAGCGAGGAAATCCACAATATTCTCTCCAAAGCAGTTGCGAAAAGTGGTAAAGTATCAAAAAGAACTGGATTAGTTGCATCTGGGTAATGTACTTTTTCCACCATGGTTTAGCTATCTTCAACGACATCACTAGATAATGCGTATACATTATCATATGCACAAATGAGTTTATCAAACCTATGGAAAAAATGTGTTTCATTGAATATCTACCGATGAAGTGTGATGTTTATTTTATAATTATTTTTTTATTTCAGTTTGGATGTAAATGGTTAGAACCCTTTTTTAATTATTATTTCTATGCTTTCAAACGTTTTATCAATTTTCATCATTTTTCAAAAATTAAAAATTCGCTATATTTATTACAATACTTATTTTTTATGCACACAAGTTTTGATTGCTCATCAGCTTAAATGCTCTTGAAAAAATTAAATTCCAAAATTATAGTGATCTATATAATCACTTTAATTGGTAAATTAAGACAAAAAAAATTATTCCTTACCTAAAAATGTACTATGGCCTCCTGCAAGATATTTTACACCACCCCAGCTCGCCAATACCATGCCAGTATGATGATATACATGCAAAAAAGATACTTGTTGGTCTTTTTTCCGAAGAACAAAAAAGACAGTATCCAGCAAATCAATAATTTTTACAACGAAGTATAAATGTACAGTTTGAGCAATCTGAAAATCGTAAATCAGGATTATTATTAAAAAATACTTTTAATAGAAAGGGAAAAAATTGACGCGCCGCTGCACTCGAAAATAAAAAAGGCACTACGAAAAAAGTGGTAATAAATAACTACAACTAGTATTAATAGGAATAACATCTTACCTCTATAGCTCGGGGAGAATATGAATAATCGACGGGTTGACAAGCGAAACTGTAATCGCTTAGCCACCCCAATACTAAAGCCTTCAATAGAACAAATATTTTACAATTAATTATTAGTAGTGTCGATTTATGAGATACTATGTTTAAACAAAAATTGTATTTAAAAAAGTTTCAAATTTTTAAATAAATAAGTTGGTTAAAACATTATTTCAAGCTTCTTTAGAGATTTCAATTATTATTATTTATAGCTTGTTGCATCTTTGAATCAAATTAAAATATAAAATATAATATGAGTTTAACTTTCTTTAACTTTTAACAACTAAAGTTTTCTTACTTTATAAAAAAGGTAGGTACTTAATATTATCTGTATGACGTCATATATTTGCATTATTCTATCCAAATGAAATGGACGCCGGTTGGCCATCAAACTTGGACCTAGCCGGTAAATAAAATATAAATAAAATCCTAATAATGCTATGCCAGGCCATGGCGATGACATTAGAAACCAATCTTTGACCCTTGGATCTAAAATTAGCACAAGTATCATTTAATAATTGTATTAAAAATGTTGATAATTTGTCTAAACATGATTAATGAAAAAAATATTTAGTAAATTTGCTAATCATTGCCAGTATACAAACTACATTTATTATTTCACTTTGTTAGTCGACATGCACTGTTCGGAATGTTACTTAATAATTCACTATTGCTTAGTCAGCACAAAGTGAACAGTGACTAACAAGTTTATAGTTGTACGGAATGACATCTGAATAACCACGAGGAGAGACATTGTGATACATGCAAATAATTTTGAAAATTCAATTATTATGTAGTCAATTCAAAAAATATACAAGATTCATTATTAGTGAAATGGACAATGGCATTTATTAAAATAGTTGCAATAATCTTGTACTAATAATTGATTGAATAACGTATACATTTTGTATAAAGCATGGTTTATATAATTTAGTTTTAATTCACTTTTATATAAATCCCTTTTAGATCTTGCATACTTTTTCATATACATTTGCAGTTGGTCATTGCAGTTTCACAATATGTGTGAGCGCTTTGCCGTCATATTCAAAATTAGCCTAGATATGCGCATATAAGCGTAAGAAACTGTCCGGTTTTTGCGTCACGTGTTATAATTTTTCGCGGTTCCATTTGTGAATATTTTTGATGATGTGCAAAGATTCTGGTCGAAATCTAGTGACGTTGTTTAAGCGTATTGATCTTGATAAATGTTAAATTTCAAAGTGAATAATGGAAACTGTCGTGAAATTAATAAAAATTCATATTATTTTGGCAGAATTGGAATATTTACTAGAATGAAATTTCAATTGATTGCATAATACCTGACGTTTCGTGAATGTAGTAACGGTAGTTTTCGATCAGTGATCTAATAATGGTTGCCATTTTCACTAGATTACAATTAGATTCCTACAATTTGCAATAACAAGGCAAAAGACGAACTTTCCACACTATATTGTATCACACAGATTAATTGATTTTTTTTTTTTATTCGAGCCTTTTCTTTGGTTCAGCCAAATGCAGCATTAAGCCACGCTGATCCGCATTTCTGTACGCGAAGAAAATATTTTTTGAATTGGATATTCCATTAATAGTGCGGAAAAGAAGAAGCTCTCCGACCCACCCAACCACCGTGGAGAACCAGAGACAACTGATTTTGATAGTTTGTCCCTCCATCAAACGCTCATGGCTATTGTATTCCAATGTCTTTAGTATGCCTTATTCACTCTTCGATTTTCCCTCTTCTTTTTTCAGTCGAATTCTATTCAGTTGCAATAGTAGATTTGTAGACAAGTACGCGTCGCTTCTCGCGTCTATTTCTTCAATCCTTTACAACTGTCAAGTCTTCAGGAGTTGTATATAAAAATATTTGTTTTAAACCAAGTTGAACGATCCGATAAATTTAGTAAGAAACGACGTGGATCCAATGCTTACCAAGTACGAATAATCTGTGCGTTTTCACATAAATTGGATTTCTTGTCTTTCCTCTTTCCTTACCTCTATTTTGCCAGTTACGCAGCTACGTGGACAGGCGTATTTAAATTACGTAAGCTGCATTCAATAAACGGTTGTCACAGACGTTTCGCTCTTACAGCAAATTGGTACTCGATGCAGTTTTGTCATAAACTTTAATTTATAATCCATCAAAGTGGAAACGGTAGGTATCTATGAGTCCATAAAATTGAAAATTGTAAATAACGGGCTGAAACTCAAGTTTATATGAAAAACATCGTTATATTCGATCTTTATTAGCTGATTTCAAAATTACGTCGTTACTCGTCGCATCACATTCTTCAAATATATTTTTCGACGCGAAAACTTTTAGCCGGAAGTATTTGAATAACTTTTTTCGAAAGACGTTTTGTATTTAAATACACGTTTAAAATACCGCTGCTGCTATATATCATCGGGTCTACCACGAGCTTACGCAAAGGTTAAGGTTTAATCAATTCTAGAATGACGTGTTATCAAAAGATGTTAATACAACTTATTGGATGATTTGATAACTTGACGGCTACTAAACCGATTTTATTGGGCAGGTACCATGCTCATCATACGATACTGTGATTCGTTTTATTTTAACTACTAGAAAATTATTCTTCCAAATTCGAAAACTAAAGTACTGGTCATTAACAATCTAATGTTTGATCTTTGATCACATAGTTTTCATATTACTGGCACAGTCCTCAACATTGATGATGCTCTCACACTTTGCATACAATGAATCGTCATTGACCGCCAGAAAAGAGTAGTGCATTCACATGGAAAATCACGCAAATCCGAATAGGCTGAAAACACACATTTTTTACTCTAAAAAGTAGTAGCGTCATTTCGCACATCAGCCAGTAGATACGACTTGTAGCTATTGTGCTTTCAGATCTTATAGGCAACAAATATCATTCTTTAACGATGAACAAGTCGATCATTTTATAATACGATCAAGTTGTACGAGTCATATCACAATATTAAATGTTGATGTAAAAACATAGTACGGGAATCAACCTAGGGAATACCTTCCTGTTCTGACTATGGAAAAGTATAATTCGCTTAAAAATGTAAATATTTCTTGCGTTTCCGAAAAATTGCTAAAGCAGGTTTTTTAATGATAGAAGATGGGTATCTAGTTCAAAAGTATCAGGAAGTCAATTCATTAAATTCTAAATTATAATATTCGTACGAGTATTTAAGATACTTGAGAAATTGCAATGCTAATCTTGTTTCATTAGACCGGCAATTTCAGACTCATTCATGATATGATAATAAGTTTAGCTTTATATATAGATGTAAAGTTCAGAGAACTTTTTGGTTCCTCTTCCACGATCATGGTTATTCAATGGAATAGGTTACTGACATTAAGATAAACAGTAAAAAAATAGTCCATAATTTAAGTGTGGTGAAGAGTGGTTTACTTGGAAATCTTGGAAATAAGAGAAAATCAACTCTGTATCAATTTTTTTAAAATAATTGTTATTGTGTTATATTTTCTAACACATAAAATATAATTGAATATACAAAGTTCGATCTTGAAAAAAAACACATGAATATTTTGTTTCTGGTATCGAGAAAACTATAAGATCCATCTTGTCTGCATGAAAAATCCCCTGCATAAACCGAAACTCCCGGAAAAACCTTTATAAATAATAAATAAACCTCGAAAGTCGCTTTGAGGTTTACATCTTTGTCGATTATTTTCTAAATAAGAACTACTTTTTTAGCCTTCCATACTCGGCTACCTTGTACAACAGAAATTTTCTGCAGTTTAGAAATAAACTATAGTTACCGAAACTTACACAATTTGTACGGATTTCTACACTAATCCTTTCTCTGTACAATTTGTATATGTTTTTATTTATTCTGTAAAAAAGTCGTGCTACAAATATTATCTTGAAAATTTATTCAGAATTGAGAATATAATATTTAGCCTTCAGGTCCTCTTTAAAAAGATACACAAATAGTACGGATAATAATGGATTGAATCGCAGTTTTACATCCAAATCGATGCAGTAATTTATAATTTTTCTATAATAACTCCGATATAACGTACATCTATTTTGTAAAGATTTCGTAATATTACATTAAGTTCATATTTAATTTCATAGTTTTATAACAATACATAAATCATTCTTAATTTAATAATTTAATTGATTGCTACAAATATTGTTACTCAATTTAATATAACTTTTTTTAGAATAGCCTGATCTTAGATCTTATGGTATATAGATAATTTGATTATCTTTTTATTTTCACTATTATAAAATACTTCCAATATTTTTAAATTATGAACACAGCTATAATAAACTAAGTTGTCTATAATTTTTATTTATTCAAACAAAATCAATCCTCGCTGAAAAAAAAATAAATAAAAACCTCTAGACTTTTTGTATATTTTCTAAAATTATGTCCGTCTCGGTATAATTATCCGAATGTAATTATTGTAAAATAAACGAAATATTCTCGGGTTGGTTGAATTAAAATCAAGCTAGGTTAATTATTTTTATAAATAGTTTGCCGCGTTTTCTATCGCTATATTCAATCCACGTCGCTATGAAATACAAATTGTTACAAGGAAAACCGTATCAAACAACAATTTTATAACAAAGCACCGCGAGTCAAGAATTTTTCTACATAAACCTGGAAAAAGCTTAATTAAATCAAAATCTAAAAACATGTATGTACATCGTCTTATTTTCAACAAACGTGACGATAAGAGACTGGCTCTCGGTAGGAATGAATTTGCGAATTTGAAATAGTATCTAAATCTAGTATCATTGAAGAAAATTGATTTGCAACCAGACATTCACTTTCATTCTAAATCGTATAATTTGTTGCAATAGTATATCAGAGCAGTATGCTATACTAGATTCATATCAAGCTCAATTCAGATATAATTGTTCTTATTGCAATACGCGTGGTAAACAGCTTAACTTGCCTTAATAATTTATTACACGCAATTTTTTATTGACCTTTTTCGACTATAATCTATTATGTATAGTATAGGAGATTTATTTCTGTTACACTATGTCATGGCAATGATGACAAATATTCTAATTTGATTGATAACAAAGATGGATTTCATTGGCTTTCAAAATCGGAAAAAAGCATTCGGATAACGGCACAACATCTACAACAAATCTATATCTTTTATACATGTTGATTTGCGAAATTTCCGTAGAATATTGACTATACATTACAATAATAGAATATTTGTACAATGTGACTATTATAATAGGTGAAATGCATCCGGTAATACGTTACTTGTAAAAGTTAATTCATAAGAGTAAATTAATAATCGAATCAATATATGATCAGTATTAGAGTTTCACTGTTCTTAATATAAAAAAGGAAATAGAACAGTTTTGGTAAATAGATTTGAATGTTTACTACACAGTTTGTTCTCAAATTTAAGTATAAGTTATTTTAAGATATTTTACAAGTTTTACGATTTTCCGGTCTTTAAGTTTCTGTTTTTCTATATTTTACTCGAGATCAATTATCTAAATCATGACACAAATTCATTTTCGGCCTTATCGTTACCGTGAAATTCTTCATTTTATAGATTCTCAAAATTAATCAGATTTATCATTCGTTTTTGCATGTCCGTTGGCAACCAAATTAGTGGAATGACCATTCGTTTTAACATGACCGTTCGTAATGTGATTATTGTATGCTAAACCTTTATCTTTATCCTGACGCTTCTGCACGTTATACGTTTTAACATAAAAGGAACCAAATAGGTATATGAATAAAGCAGCGTTTATGCATAGCAGGAATGATAGTGGTTTCGGATAGTTGCAATTAGTGACTAAAACCTAAAACAGTAAGTTGAAGAAAACGTTAATTGACGAAATTTTCTATATTTTCTATATTTTCCATTTTATTTTAATCGGCAAACCTGGAGATTGTGGAAAAATATGATGGTGAATTGGACTAGCTGCAGTGACGTGAGATGCCTCTTCCACCACAAGAATTTTTGCATATTTGGCCCGAAAGCTGATAGCATGTAATACGTGTACATCAGCACGTGGATGAAGGAATTAATTAGCCCTAAAAGAGTAGCATGACCACCCGGAACGAAACGTACGCCGATCCAAGCACAAATCGGCATCATTGCGTGATGATAGACGTGCAAAAATGAGATCTGGCGCTGTTTCTTGCGCATCACAAAGAATAGCGTGTCCAATAGTTCAATCAGCTTACAAGCGAAATAAAAATAGACACCTTTCGCCATCTGCAATCAGCAAAAAGTAACCTTTTCAGTCATTGCAGTCAATTATATCTCTACTTGAGAATAGCATCAAATGTAAATAGAATTATTTTTTTATTTTCACAACATGGCAATCGATCAACTGAACAGTGTAAAAATAAAAAAGGCCGAGATTTCCAACCAGTTTCTAAATGATTTAAATTACAATTATTAACGTTATTTGCATAACATTTGTCTTGAGTATTTGTAACAACTGCAGGGAAAAATTATGCTAAGTCTCAACACATTAAACGAAATCATCGGTCAGTGAAATTTCTTGAATAGTATTGCGAGAATATACTCACTCTCAAAGCTTGTGGATTATTGGAATAATCGACTGGTTGGCAAGTGTAACTGTAGTCGTGTAACCAACCACTCATCAGTGCTTCATGAACAATATATATACTGAGCAAGACTTGGATAAAGTTGTAAATAATTAGAGTCTTTCTCAGGTCGAACGGTTTTCTATTTCTCATCAATCTTGGACCGAGCGACACACTAAAGTATATGTATGAGAAAATCAGCAACAATAATGGCCCAGGACTTGATATCAAAAACCAGTTTTGCGTCCGTGGATCTGTGAAACAAAGTCATAATCAATTTTATTTTATGGAGAGGTCGTTGATTTAATGCTAATTCACACTTCACTATGTATATACCATTTCTGTTGTACATAAGATCCTTGTAGTAATCCACAATAACCGACATTTTTCTGTTACAGTCTCTGAAACAGCAATGGTCAAAGGTGGATAATAATTATAGAAACCAAACTAAGAATTCTTTTATCAAAAAATAAATCCTTGATTTTCGATGCGCGCAAATCTATGCGCAAACGTGTAACAAAAAAAGTTTATATAACGTTTGAGAATTTTGTTTGTATGAAATAATCTGACTCATTGAAACGTTTTTTTATACATTCTTTTAAGGAAAATTGAGATGATGCTTATTTTGTATAAAAATTAGTTTTTTTTACTGTTTACGTTAAAAATATTAAAAACATTCAAATATAAGTTCTTTTTTTCGTCCCAATAAAAAAAAATTGTTATTCTAACGTAAATATGCATTTTTTATAACTACAGTCTTAAATTTGTTGCTTTGTTTATTTTTGTTGGGATATACTCTTTGTTAAAATTGGTGTGGACTGTTAGTTTCATTGACACATTGAAAATAACGTACGACAAAACCTCGTAGGTAAAGCATTGAGAAAATACCGGTGACAATTCTTATACAAAGAAAATCAGTAAAGGGAATAAACTGGACTGATTCACTGAACTTGTTCACTTTTGTTCTGAGTGATATACGTCGATGAGAAATATTTTCACATGTTTTACTTCAATATAAGGTTTCGAGAAATTCCCAGCGATAATATAATCTAACAATAAGGGTAAAGTAGGAAACTTTGGTCGATATCCGAATCATTTCTTGACTCGAAGAAATAATTTGCGTACGAAGGTCGAGCCATTCATTGCGTATACGTATGAAGGAGTTATCGAGTATCGACCGGAAGTCAAACTACCCGTTGCGTGGTCTTGCAATATGGGAGCTGGGAGGCGAGATAATGATAGACATTTCTACATGACCACATATCTGAACAAATAGTTATATCATTTATCGAAAGTTGCAATTTGTTTTCTTCGGGTTACTTTTCCTCCCAAGAAATTTAAATTGAAATTTAAGGATAATCAATTTGTAGGCTATTGATATAGATTCGTGGCAGATAAACAAATAAACATTTGAAACGTTGATATTTGAATCCCAGCTCAAAAAGTACCAGTTGGATGCTGGATTAACGTCCAAGACCGACGAGTCGATTATAATTGCGTTCCTCAGAAGTTTGAAATCACAAGAAAACATAAAAGCAGCGAAAGGTTAATTTAAACTCATGCGTTCTCACGTATAGACCTTTTTCCCAAGGTTGCGCTCAGATAATTGCACATGCAGCCACATGAGGTTATTGACGCATCGCTGAATTTCTTGGACGTCCGTGAAAAAAGGCCCGTGAATAAGTATTCAATGCTCTCACTTGAGCTACTTCGTTTTCACGCACCTGATGGATTCGACCGAATCAACCGTATATTATTATTTCATTATCCCGTCCAGACTGATTTTAAGAAAGCGCGTCGCTACTTTTTCAAAAGTTGCAATCACGAACGCAGTCCAATCGCACATATGCAAATGATATAAATTTTGAACCGAGGTATGCGTGCATTCTCCCTGAATTCACAATAGCGGATGTGTAAATTTTGCAACAAAGCTTTCTTTCTTAATTATCATGCCTTCGAAACCACGTTTCTTTTATTTTAATTTCCCACGAAACTTCATTTGTATTTGCACATTTTGCCGGTAAAAAATTCTGCCAACTCGATATCGAATGCAAGAGTACAATTTAATTTTAAGATTTACTTGAAACTATTCCTCTTCGATGCACCGCGATGACGTACCGAAGTTATTTTCGTTATCGACGTGTTACGTTCAATCGACGGAAACAGCACAATTCCAGTCATCATATTTACGCATACCTCGTGGTATTTCAAAAATCTGTCTTATTATTATTGTTGTATTATTGTTATCGTGTTACCTGCGTAACGGAGAGTCGAGCGGAAAAAAATCGACGCACAGCTCGAATTTGGAAAAGGCCGATAACGCGAAGCGAAATATTTTTGCCACTAGACAAAATAGTAACCGCCTCCGCGCGCAGAATAATATTCGACGCGCGTAAAACTTGTATAACGAAAGTATGGCTTTATCGCGTCAGAGTCAACTAGTATTTTGCAATTATTTCACGTAATTACATTTCAAGTGCGTGTGTTCCTAGAAATTATCTTTGTTTAAACAAGCCGACGTACGCGCACGGTAACGTCACGCTAGCGTTCACCCGAAAAGGTAATGCTCCCAGTACTTTTGTTCGAAAGATCGAAACGGAGTAAATTATCATCGAGACTTTGATTTGTCGTGCACGAAGACGTCCAATGGAAAGGTCCTTTTCCCGGCACTTTCTAATGGTAATCGCTGGCCGATGCTGAATTTTGTAACCTATGCCCGGGCTGTACCGTTCAAGCCAACGGGCATTCGGAATAATTCGGTTGTTCTTCGATACAAACAATTTTTCCTTTCGGTTTTCATTTCGAGAAATCGATGTACTATTGTTATTGAACGGTCTATTGCCAGCCAGAGAAGCTCCTTTGCACATTTGTAATTGAATAATTAGATTGTTGATCGATTGCAATGTGGATATCGTTTTCGTTGCGGAATAACGCCACTTAACGTCCACTGAGCTTTACGACGACGGCAGCGAATGTTCAAGAATCTCGGCTTTAGATCGAACTTAGAACGGCAAAGTCGGTGTTGCCGCCGAGGCACCCGATGAAAAATAAAAAATTATCTGTTTTCGATGTTTGCGGAAAAACTTGAAAAAGGGTTTCGTCGATTCGTTATAATTACACCTACCTCCAGTAGTTTTGCCGTACTAACCACCCTCCCACCACACAATGAAAATGAGAAGAGATATAAACTACCGTAAGCACGAACGCCACTGGGTGAACGCGCAAGTATCGGAGAATACTTTGATATCGAAAGCTTGCCGTCAAATGCAAACAGGTCTGATCGGTAGAATGCTGGACCAATGACTGGAGTGTCCACTCGCTACTTGGACAGAACTGGCCAACGGGCGAGAGCCTCGTTTCTGTCCTCGCGTCGCGCCGACTGAACTCACACAATCTCCCGCGCGCACGAGCCAACGTACAAGTTTGCGTATACGCGAGGCCTCTTTCCGGTTTCGCTCGGATGGTTATGAGCCTGATACATCTACGCGTCTGCGGGAGCTGCGCGCGAGATACGCTCGGCTCTCCTTTGCATTTTTATCGCGAAGCCACCTCGAGGATCAAAACCCGTTCCGCGCTCGCGGTTCGCCGGCTTTTCCTTCGATTTCGAGCGGCGCGACCCAGGGCCGCGATTCGCAGGGTGCCCGCCGTAATTCACATTTCAAAGTGGCCGCGAGGCTAATTTCCGCGAGGACATTTCCTTTTCCTTAATCGCCGGCCAAATTGAAGTGCGGCCTTGGCGCCCGGCCGTTCTCTTTGTCTCAATTTAAGGATCTCGCCGATCCTTGGCTGCCTTTTCTCTCGTTTCTGCTTATCATTTTCCCTCGCTCCATTGTTCTCCGCCGCCCGTCGTCGGGCTCTCGGATCGAGCGCATCTCCCCGTTCCCGCGCTCGGACGGGAATCAACAGCGCTTCCACGTGCCGCTGGCGTTCGCGGCATTTCTTTCGTCGCGCTTCGGCTTCGCGGCCGCGGCGTGCTATTCTAATTAAACTAATTATACAAGCTGTAAAGCACGGCGCAGCCGGTACTTACGAGCAGGCGCATTATTATTATTCCATCAGATATCGAAAACTCCGCTGACGATGCAATTATCGGTTTTTTTTTCCCCTCCCCGTTCGCGGGCCAATTTTCCTCGGCGCCGTTCTTCGGTTGAATTTTAAAGAATGAATGGAGGAAAAAACAAAATGAGAAGTGAAGTTGTAGAATAAAGGAAAAGAAGCGGATACCAGTGGAATGCCTGTCCTTGAATCGGAATTTGTAGCTTGCGTACTTGGGCAAACGAGTTGAGTCCGCGTTGGTCCGCGAAAAAGGAGAGGCACGAGATAGTGCCAGTATATGGGATCTCAAGCATAATCGACTCGCGATTATTTTCGTGTTAGACTTTCTTCTGAATTTTCAATTTGAAAATCACTCGATTATAATTTCATTCAGCCTGTCAACTGGTTAATATTCATGTAGATTCAGACTGATTATAATAATCCGATATATCAATTCATGCAGTTCATGGCCATTTCTCGCAAGTATTACTCAAGATAAATTTTTTTCTTATTTTTATACAACGAGTCTACATTTTACGGCTTTTCTCTTCTATTTTTTAGGAGGCTCTGTAGTCATTCAAACGAGCACGGCAATCGCTTTTACGATCGCTCAACGTTCAATTTCGAAGATTTTTGTACCCGTTAGTTTTCGTTATTCACGAAAGCAATTTGCAAAACGTTATATACAATACGCGTACAGAAGCAGTTGTATCTTTGGTAGAGGCGTTCTTTCGTAGATGTTTGACAAAGTCGCGAAAGGGTCAGCGAATAACGTTCGTTGTACGAACTTTATAGATTATTTAACGATGTATCCGTGCTCAAGCCGATGATTTTCAAAAGGAGATGTCTAATTGAGCGGTGACTCGGCACGATTCTATTAATGGATTCGGGATGTAAGCACGTTCGCTTATAGCTAAAGTTTCTGGTTTTTTTCTTTTCTTTTTCGTTTTTTTCTTCCAAACAGTTATATCTGCTGGTTTGCGAGGCTCGAATTTGACGCTCGAGCACGTGCTGCGCACGACCGCGCTGTTGGCCCGGGGATGGCCGACGATTAAAATTTATTCGCGTCCGACGCGCAAGAAAAAGGAAATCCTTGCGCGACAGAGTCGTGGCAGATTAGTAATTTTTTGTTCGCACCGCGCTATTGCTCTGTTTCACGCTCGCGTCATTACGTCAGCGTGCGTGTGTGCAACGTTTAGTCGTTGATTTGTAAGCGGTACATCAAGAGTGGCAACCTTGACGCTCGCCGGTTAATTGACGATGAAAAAATTAATAATAATAATAATAATAATTAAAAAAAAAAAAAAATAACGCGTAAAAATGACGCGCAAAAGCAACAGAACCAGTTTGAATAAACGAATTTGCGCGAACGTATATCCGTGAGTGCAGTTTTAATAACACGCACGTACGCGCTCGTTCACTGTGTTCGCTGACTCGCGCGCAGGTGATTAAGCTCTCATCGGTTGCGAAGCTGGATATAGAAACTTTGCGATTCGACTATATACATCTATATGTATAGATATATTTATGAAAAAATAATGCAATATGCATTGTGGCAAAACGAGTTTACGCTGCGCAATGCCGAACACTATTGCCGATACGATATAGTCGCTATTAATTTCGAGAGATTTTTGCGGGCTTTTATTTATTTATCTTTATGTATGTCTTTTTTGTCTCGTGGCAGAAAGCCATAAGAACTTTACACCCAACCCGATCATTCCGTGGTCTGCCCGGTACAAAAGTGGTTATTTTGAAGAGATGACGATTAAGGTCCGCGGAAAAAAAAAAGAAATCCCCCTTTCCTGAGACGCGTCATTTTTTAAATCTCGATCTCGCCGCTGGTGCGCGCGCGTGTTTGCGTTCCCGAGAACGAGAAGGAATTTTGAAAACTCACTTTCACGGTCATTCACGCGTCTCCGAACGCAAAATTTATGCGTGACGTAAAACTTTTCGCGGTCAAATGCCTTTCCTCGTCGTTCGAATCGGAGCGCGAACCTTAAATTCGAGATTTGATTTTTTGGCACTGAGTCGCGGATTCCGCCGCGACTGATCGATACCCGATGCAATTTGCGCACGCGGCGATTCGCGAATTTTATCACTCGTGATTCTTCCAAATAAAATCGACGAAAGCAAAAGTCCCTCGTGTCTATGTGACGGCACTCGAAAAAATCTATGAAAGTTGATGCAATTGCGTCTAAGAAAAAAGAGAAATCTTATAAAATCTTATGAAATAATTAGAAGGCCGCGTTTACTCAAACATCGCTCATTTAAAAAAAAAAGAAAGGAAAGAAATATCGATAAAATGAAAGCGGTTTTAGAGACTCTGGAAAGAAAAGAGAGGCGTGCAAGAACAGACGTTCGACTCGGCGAGGCAAAGAGAAGAAAGGAAAGGGAAAGGTCGAGTAGTGGGGATATCGGACGCAAGCATGCAGGCGCATTACGAAGCGAAACGAGAAAGTGGTGGCGTGAGAGTAGTAGCGTTCGAGTTTACTGCGTGGAAGCCAGACCTTTTGTCAGCTTTTGTCTCTTCCTTCCGTAGAGAAGTTTGTTTATTCCTTTAGCTAGCTCATAACCGCCCTTCCGATATTCCCTTTTTTAATCCAGATTCCAATATCCTTTCGAAGCAAACATTTAAATAGATGGTGAATTAAAAATAAGTCCGTGTGTGTGTGTGTGTGTGTGCATTGCGTGAACCCGGTATGGCCGGTCGTTGATTGGTTTTATTGATGTTGTTCATCGCGATGAGTAATAAATCAGCTGCGTCTCTCTGATGAACATGGACAAGCCGGATTCTAAAATGTCATCTCTATTATCCGAATGCTACCACAAACTTGTCGATTCGACTTCGTCGACTGAATTGCCGGTATGAAACTTTTATTACAGCGAACGATTTGACAAAACAAATTATACGTACATATATACATTTTCCAGTTGAAAGGTTACAAGGTCACCGACGTCAATCGAACCCGTAAAATTGGGGTGGCCTGCAGTGGTCTGCAAGAGTTCAAGCAAAAGGCCTGCGCAAAACTAAACGTAAGCGGTTCTTAATATTCTAATCGTAACAGCGTTTTCCAGTAATCTTATTGAAATTCACTTTATCGAGCGAGTGCTGAAACGGCGAGGAGAGAGAAAGAGGATAGTGTCTCGATTCAGGTCATGGTCAGGCGCAGCAACATCTCCCTACCCTATAATGTCTATAGCTGCTTGTGCCCACGGTTTTCAATGTCATGGTCGTGCTGCGCATGTCTCTGTTCACTCCGAAAATCCTTTGAGTCACTCTGATAACATTGTGAGCAACACCCGCTTGCAGCTATGTGCTTTCGGAGTATTTCGAGCCGAATAACATTTTTTGATCTGTAAAGGGAGGGAAACTTTTTCTACGTCATTATCGATACACGTATTTATAAATAGCCATGGGCATTAAATGAGATGCATTATTTTGTTTGCGTAAGACGTAAACAGCAACCAAAGAACGGCAAACAATCCGAAACTATTTTTGTGTTCACTTGTAAAGTAGTGATCGAAAGGGTATCCATTATTTGAATAGGCAATGAATATTCATGCATATGAACAAAAAAAACTTAACAAATTGCCAGTGAATAGAGTCCGTACGCAATTAGCTAGCTTTCGTCAATGAACTTTGCTCATTGCAAATACTAAAAAAATATACTTGTTGAATACAGGTGACGGAGGATTTGGAAGAAATCGAAGTATTTTTGCTGGATGGTTCCGAAGTCGACGAAGAATATTTTAAAACTCTGCCAGCTCAGACAACGCTCATCCTTCGGAGACCAGGCGAGAAACTTTTGACAGGTAAAATTTGATTTCAACTGTTTAAGCTTTATTCGTGATCCTTTTAAAATCCCCAATTTTAACAGAAGCGGATATACTTTATCAGATGCTGAAGAAGGTGAACGAGTCTTATTTGTCCAGCGGTCAAAAAGCCGAAGAATTTCTCACGGATAAGTTAAAAGTCAAACTAGCAGTACTTCATAAAGCTTTAAATGACGATGATTCCAAAACAGTGCTTAGTAATCGAAAAGACGATCCTGCTTGGTTCGATGGCTTAGAAACGACATCTCAAACAAAGGTACGCACGCATCGTTTTTATGTTTTAAAAATTCGGATTGACCAAACTATTTATTTTTATCTGAAATTGTTATCAGGAGGCTTACTTGCACCGAAGATGCCAAGATAGAATAAGAGGATATCTCTACAAGACTATTGAGCAGATCAAGGCTTCGGAAATCTATAATAATGACAAAAAAGCTCGGAGCGTACTTGAAAGCGTCATAATTTTTTTCAAGTTACAATTAAAGAAAGATCATTATTTTGGTTTTTATTTTGACCGGACTTATTCGCCCAAACCTGATATGAAAGAGGGCGCTGAGTCAGGGAATAGCTTGCCTGATGATGAAACTGACGGCTCGGGGATATGTCGTTACGAGCACTGTCCTTGCAGACTAAGTTGGTCAGACTACGAAAAGTTCATTATGGGTTTGAATGTTGACGAGGTAGATGCCAAAAAATTTGACCGAACAAAAGAAGAAATTCAACAACTCAAAGAGCAGAAAAGTATTTACAAAATTACCATTAGGAACGTCAAAAGCATGACTGCTCTGTGTGATAAGAAAGGTGAATTTCGATGCTCCGGAACTTGGAATCGTAATGAATGTTTATATTCTGATTGTCATAAAATTAATCCTTATCGATCAAAGGAAGAGCTTGTTTTATTTTCTACCTGGAACCTCGATCACAAGTAAGAACAAATACATTTTTGGTTTCCATACATGCTAAAATCAATTGTATATATGTATTTAATTTGACAGAATTGAACGATCCAGAACATTAATACCACAACTATTGGAAGCAGCAAGAAAAGATATATTGGATGAAAATGAAGTAGTCGAAATATATAACAATCTCTTCACATCTAAAAATTTAAGACTCGTACACATAGTATGTCATGATAAAAGTTCGCACAAATAATGTTTATTCTTGAAATGATGACGGACGTTGAATTTTTTTCAAGTTAAGACTATTTTCTAAATTTTATTAAGGAATATTATGTTTTTCTAGTCGTTCGTTGTTCTTGGAAATTATGCTAATTAACAATTTGATTATTTTAAAAAGACTGCGACTACATATATTTTTAGTAGTTTACTTTGAGATAAAAGCTTTAAGAATACAATAATCTGTAAAGTTCTGATATAAATGCTTTATAGATAAGCGTTTTCACTTGAGATATTTTACGCGAGGAAAGTATTAAAACAGGGTTACGAGTGATTCCTAATAACATATAATAAAGCATTGGCGACGACCAAACTTCAACTTTTTAAACTGTGATCGCTTGGGTGCGTACTGTCCATATCGCATAATACAGATATATGCGAATGATTTATTTTGTATGATATTGTGTGATGAGTCCTGATGATTATAGCGCAGGCAAAGATTATAAGTATTTCAAATGATATTGAAGCAATCAAATATTTTCATAACATCGCTTGAATTGTTATGGTTTCAAAATTTAATAAATGTTGACTTTGAAATTGCGCAAGATATATGGTAACAACAAATTGTTGGATTGATGTTCTGATTTGTAATATAACAAATCTAAATAAATATTGTTAAAAAATGTATTAATTATTCATCATTTATTACATTCACTCATTACGATTTAATTTTTTTAATAGGGATATTAATTCAAATATTATATATGGTAGGTACAGCGTCAATGATCCCGTGAAATACTGGTTTTAAAATAGTGTGGTTTCTAAAAACTGATCGACAAAATTTTAATCAAAGTATTTTTTTTAATTACTTTAAGCCTTTTTAAAGCTGACGATTAAATTTTTGTGATTTTAATAGTATATACGATTATAAGGATACAAAAATTGCTAAAAAAATAGTTTAAGTAGTTTTCAAAAGCATCTGTTGGGCCCATCTCATTTTGAAGTTATTTCATTTTGAAGTTAAGAAAAATAAAATAGTATTTGCTATCATATTCTATAATAGTCAATTTAGAAACTTTATTGGCGATTCGTAGTACCATGTATGCGTTTATAGAATAAGAATAGTCGAGGACTGCACGCGCACACACACACACACATACATAATAGCTATGCAGACTATTTTTAAATACACAATATGGTGGGAGAATCATTGAGCCGTCGGTAACTTAGAACACTCGTTTAACATATTTACGCAAGCAGCGTATGTATCAATTCTAAAAATTTTATATTCTCTGAATATTTGATGCTTATCAATAAGTTCAAGTACAAAACGTTCTTCGAATATTCATCTTTAAAAATACTGACCGATATTAAAATGTTTTAAAATTACGCATTAAATTCTAAATTAATTATTAATCAGTATTTTTATATTAATGCACTACATTACTATTAATCTTATTACAATTAAAATTGAAAAAAATTAATACTTTTGACGTAATCATTCACAATTATAATTGAAGCGTATATTATAAATATTGTCAAACACTACATAAGTAGTATATTCATATTACAAAACACATGTATTACATGATTTTTATCACACATATCTCATCACTGAGAATATTACATACCTCAGTAACTAATTAATATATTCAAAAGTATAAGGAAGCATTTTTCTTAGTAGTAATACGAATAAAATAAATGTTATTTTTGCAATAATTATTCGATATGTTGTTGATGACCATTTTCGAGGATTATTGGTATTGGTTAAAACAACCAATCAACGCAAATCCTCCTGCGATAGCTCAAATGGTAGCTTTTTTAATTCTTTAGAATTTTTGTTTGAAACTTTTTCATCAGGAGGTTAATATCACTGCTTGCAGAATCAAAAAACGTGTCTTTCATCCTTAATTTTTTTTTTTAATTTGGTGTAGCTCGATATAACATTAACTTTTACATAATCCACTTTCATTATTAAAACTACCTTAATTTTAAAACATTTTAATATCGATCAGTATTTTTACAATATTTTTAAATATTTCCCGCATAATTTATTAACAGCGATTTTTATGTCATAGTATTTAAACAATTTTTATGTCATTGATTTTTATGTCATTGATTTAAACAAATTTACACTATATAATTGCTGAACGAAAAACTACAATTTTTTAATGTACTACACGTACGTGTATTCGCATTATATTATTTCTTCAAAAAAATTATTTAGAATAATTGCTACCGAAAGAGACAAGCTACTATTGGTATCACATTGTACTTGAGTTTATTTGGATTTATATTATAACAGCTTAAACATACAAAGCGCGGGTTCTATTGAAATTCTCTCATCTCTCTCTTTCTCTCACTCTCTCTCTTTCTCTCCTACAAGAGCGCATAGTAACAGGCGCTCTCGTCGACCAATGCCACTGCCTCTCTCTATCTTTCTCCTTCTTGCTCGTTGCGGTGGCGATGCTGAAAACATAAAGGCAGGCATCAGGCACGTGAATTATGTGCTATAGGTCTGCCATGAGTCCACGCCGATGGTAGGGAGAGATGGGGAACACACGGTGCAGGTCGAATCCACCGGCACCGTTACAGCCCCTCCGAAGGCCGAAGTTCTCCTCAGGACAACAAGGCCTTACTCTGATCTCCAGACTCTCTCTTTCCCTCTCGGCATAGACTCACGACATGGCCCGGCGCAACAATAGCTTAACTTAATGTAATTTAACAAGCTTATGACTACCCACACAGCACGAAATATTTCGGGGAAATGTTCCATGAAATATTGCAAAAAAACTTGTGAAAATATTGCAGGAAAGTTTCGGAAAGTTATTTAAAATAATTCAGTGAAATATTTCGTCAAATATTTCAGCAACCTTGCAGAAACATTTCAATGAAATATTATTTTTGACGTTTGAAAATAATGCGGTGCAACCTTGATGGAAACTCGCACGAATATTGCACGAAATATTTTCAGGAAAGTTTACAAAGAAGTTTTGAGGAATATTTCAGCAACCTTCCAGAAACATATCAATGAAATATTATTTTTGACGTTTGAAAATAATGCGGTGCAACCTTGCTAGAAACTTGCAGAAAAATTGCACGAAAGATTACAGGAAAGCTATCAAAGAAGTTTTGAGGAATATTTCAGCAACCTTGCAGAAACATATCAATGAAATATTATTTTTGACGTTTGAAAATAATGCGGTGCAACCTTGATGGAAACTCGCACGAACATTGCACGAAATATTTCAGGAAAGCTTTTAAAGAAGTTTTGAGGAATATTTCAGCAACCTTGCGAAACATTTCAATGAAATATTATTTTTGACGTTTGAAAATAATGTGGTGCAACCTTGATGGAAACTCGCACGAAATATTTCAGGAAAGCTTTCAAAGAAGTTTTGAGGAATATTTCAGCACCCTTGATGGAAACTCGCACGAACATTGAACGAAATATTTCAGGAAAGCTATCAAAGAAGTTTTAAGGAATATTTCAGCAACCTTGCAGAAACATTTCAATGAAATATTATTTTTGACGTTTGAAAATAATGCGGTGTAACCTTGATGGAAACTCGCACGAATATTGCACGAAATATTTCAGGAAAGCTTTTAAAGAAGTTTTAAGGAATATTTCAGCAACCTTCCAGAAACATATCAATGAAATATTAATTTTGACGTTTGAAAATAATGCGGTGCAACCTTGATGGAAACTCGCACGAACATTGCACGAAATATTTCAGGAAAGCTTTCAAAGAAGTTTTGAGGAATATTTCAGCAACCTTGATGGAAACTTGCAGGAACATTGCACGAAATATTTCAAGAAAGCTTTCAAGGAAGTTTCAGGGAATATTTTAGAAACCTTGCAGAAACCTTTCACTTATACATTATTTTTCGCGTTTAGAAAATAATGCGGTGCAACCTTGCTAGAAACTTGCAGAAAAATTGCACGAAAGATTACAGGAAAGCTATCAAAGAAGTTTTGAGGAATATTTCATCAACCTTGCAGAAACATTTCAATGAAATATTATTTTTGACGTTTGAAAATAATGCGGTGCAACCTTGATGGAAACTCGCACGAACATTGCACGAAATATTTCAAGAAAGCTTTCAAGGAAGTTTCAGGGAATATTTTAGAAACCTTGCAGAAACCTTTCACTTATACATTATTTTTCGCGTTTAAAAATAATGCGGTGCAACCTTGCTAGAAACTTGCAGAAAAATTGCACGAAAGATTACAGGAAAGCTATCAAAGAAGTTTTGAGGAATATTTCAGCAACCTTGCAGAAACATTTCAATGAAATATTATTTTTGACGTTTGAAAATAATGCGGTGCAACCTTGATGGAAACTCGCACGAACATTGCACGAAATATTTCAGGAAAGCTTTCAAGGAAGTTTCAGGGAATATTTTAGAAACCTTGCAGAAACCTTTCACTTATACATTATTTTTCGCGTTTAAAAATAATGCGGTGCAACCTTGCAGTTAACTTGCAGAAACCTTTCACTTATATATTATTTTCCTGAAAGCTTTCGTGCAATGTTTCAGCAAGTGTCCTCCTAGGTTTCATCAGATGATGTCTTAGCGTCAAAAATAATATATAAGTGAAAGGTTTCTACAAGGCTTCTGAAATATTTCTCGACACTTCCTAGGATGCTTTCCGGAAAAATTTGGCGCAACGTTTCTGCAATTTCACTGCAAGGGTTCACCGAAATATTTTTAAGCGCAAAAATAATATATAAGTGAAAAATTTGGTGCAACGTTTCTGCAAGTTCACTGCAAGGTTTCACCGAATTATGTCTTAGCGTGAAAAATAATATATAAGTGAAAGGTTTCACCAGATTATGCCCTAGCATAAAAAATAATATATATATATGAAAGGTTTCTACAAGGTTTCTGAAATATTTCTTGACAATTCCTAGAACCTTTCACTTATATATTATTTTCCTGAAATCTTTCGTGCAATTTTTCAGCAAGTGTCCTCCTAGGTTTCACCAGATGATGTCTTAGCGTCAAAAATAAGCTTTCAAGGAAGTTTTGGGGAATATTGCAGAAACCTTGTAGGACCCTATCATTTTTATATTATTTTTCACCCTAAGACATAATTCGGCGAAACCTTGCAGTGAACTTGCAGAAACGTTGCACCAAATATTTCAAGAAAGCTTTCTTGGAAGTGTTAAGCAATATTTCAGAAACCTTGCAGAAACCTTTCACGCTTAGAAATATTTGGATGGAACCTTGCAGGAAACTTGCAGAAATATTGCAGGAAATATTACAGGAAAGTTAGAGGGGATATTTCTAGAATTATTAAATACTTCCGAGACATTTTTATGCAATCGTTCCACACTTTTTCTTATTACATTTCGTAATACATTTAGAAAAAAAGATCTGAAATATCAATGTTTCAGAATTATCCCAAATACTTTTTAAGATAAATTTTCCAAAGTACTTATTGCAGAAAACGTTTAACTAAAACTTTGTATGAATTTTCTGTAAAAGTGTCAACATAAATATGATTTTTGATAAATAAACCACAAAAAAGTTATTTAAAAAACTTTACAGAAACTATACTTATAATTAAACGTGATTTAATTAGACCAGATAACAACAACTACAAATATTTAATAGTTCATTAAAAAATATCAAAATAAAATACGAAGCAGCTATAGTTTGCGCGATTTATA